ATTACTATAAATAAGCTAAATAAATTTGATTTTGTTGTAGCATAAAACTATTCTACACACAATCCAAATATTAAAAAATTACAATTTTGCAGGTAAAAATGCATTTTGGTTTGCAATAGGCGCTATCATGCAGCAAGGCAGCGAAATTGCACCCATGTGAGTGTGAAATATTTTTCCATATTCTAAAACATAGTTATTATATTTTTTTATTATATAAACGACAATATTGAATGAGTTATCAAAAATAATATATTTAAAAATTAAATAATTCTTTTACAAATAAAATACAAAACAATGTGTATTGCATCACTTAAATAATTCTAAAATACGAACATAAATATAAAACTTTCCTTTCTTTAGATATTTATGTTGACTTTCTGATCATTTACTCTCTACTTTAGCCAATTTCATGTTTTAAATTCTTATAATATTAATTATCAATATTTACTTGTCAGTTTTCAAGAATTTTATATGATTTCAATGTACAATTTTATACATTATAAAAATAAAAATATTCTTATAAAATTAAAAATTAATAAACCAGAATATTAAATCTCAAAATTTGAATTACAGAAGCATTTCTACACGAATGGTTGCGAGCTGCTGGTGGTTCTTTTGTCTTATCATGGTGTCAAGTTATACAGCTAATCTGGCTGCGTGCCTAACTGTAGAAAGTTCATTGTCGCCTTTTGACAATGTTGAAGGATTAGTAAAAAAGAAGACAATTAAATATGGCGCAAAAGATGGAGGAGCCACGCTCAACTTCTTCAAAGTAGGTAAATTTTTCGAAATTTGTCGAAATTTTTATAACACTAAAAAATTGCAACAATAATGTAAAGTTATTGCAAAAAAATGGCAAATTTGAAACAATTTACACTAAAAAATTTACACTTCTTCTACAGAACTATATTCTTTAATTTATGGATTTTTAAAACATAATGTAACAATCTTAAATAGTTAAAAAACTTGAATAATTATAAAATTTGCACAATAAGATATTGTAAATTTTAAATTAAAGAAAAATATAATGTATTATATAAATCAAACATTTTAACAAATTTATATTAACAAAACACACACACACACATATTATTAAAATTTACATAAAACCATTCAATGTATTAAATAAAATCACGTTTCTGACTTTCAACTTTATTCAATTTTTTATAAAATTGATATAAATTGATATTAATATAAAACACCCATTTTATATGTAATAAAAAGTAATTTCACGTATAGCTTTTTCAGAATATTCTCAGTGCTTATGATTTGTATAATACACCTTATCAGTGAAAGAAAATTTTAATAATAATATTTATACCACATACAACGTTTCTTATAAATACGACAGTAATTAATCCTGCACGCGAAACACAAGTAGATATATAATTAATTAATTAATAATAAGAGGTCTGTTCAAAAAGTTCCCAAACTTCTTTATAATTTTTTAGGATTTACTTAAAACTTATTCAGCCCCCTATTTTCTTTGAAATATTTGCCTTCTCGGTTGATACACCACTCCCAACTCCCGTTTCCACTTCTAGAACCAGTCCTATACGCGTTTTTTTTTATCACGCGTAAGTCCGTCTGCGAATTTTTCTTGATGTCTTCAGTGTCGAATCTTTTGATCTTTCGAAATAGGGCTAAATACGTAAACCCCTAAAAATTATAAAGATAAAGTTCAGGAACTTTTTGAACAGATTTCGTATAGGGGAGACCGGGGGCTATATATACGTGTCCACAGTAGAATAATTATAGTATAGAATAATTCTATATATTCTATATTCTATATATTAATATAGAATAATTCTATATATTCTATATATTTTAATTCTATATATAGAATAGATAATGAATAGATAATCTATATATCGAATGTTCTATGTATAGAATTAAAGTAACAATTAACCATTAATAAATAACACAAAGTAATTTTAGAGTAATAATTTTCTGACACAACATTACTCTAATAATACGTAAATAAATATTTCTGAGAGAGAAATTATACAATAAATGCATACTATTTAGAAATACCTAAGCATGATAAGTGTGTAAGTTGCATTTTAATTCAACTCTTTGAAAAAATTTTGTCTATTCCAAGGATAGCAATTACCCTGTATACCAGGAAATGTACCAAACCATGATAGCCAATAGAAAGGACGTACTCGTATCGGATAATAAAGACGGTATAGTGAAGGCCGAAAATCAAGACTACGCTTTTTTGATGGAATCTGCTTCAATCGAGTATTACTTACTATTTATACATGTATATCGCACCCCGATAAAAACAGTAACACAACTCAAAAATATATCATATTCAGGAGAGAGGAAAAAACAAATTTAATTCAATTTCTTTTAATTGTGAGATAACTAACACAAATACAATTATGATATTTTGTGTTATAATAAAACTTATACTGTTTTTTGAAGAGGTCTACTGTGATTCACTTATTAATTCACTTATGACACTATTCAGGAAACCGCAACATAACCAGTTTAAAAGAATAACGGCACTTTTGCCTTGTGCAGGGGATTTCACATATAGACTTGTAACACTATTATAACACGTAAATAACATTTTAGGCATGCTTTTTATGGGCTTAACTCAAAATAAAAAGTTGTTGAGTTATGATAGTATTCTTCTCGGGGTACGACACACACACACACACACACACACACATAATATCTCTTTTCTATTTATTATTTTTATTTATTTCACATATACATATATATATATATTACAGATATGAGATAGAGCGACATTGCGATCTCACACAAATCGGTGGCCTCCTAGACGAGAAGGGGTACGGAATTGCAATAAAAAAAAGTAAGCTTTATCTAAATAATATCTGCATATATGTAGTAATAAAGCATGGTCAAATATTTTATATGTTATGCATAGTTTCAATACACAAAAATCGGTATTATATATTAATATATATATATTATTAAATTAATTATAAGATCATCAACTTGCGTTTATTACCACCTCAGATTTATCCAATATTAAAGATGCACTTTATTCATTATTTAACTTTTTTAAATATTATGATTCTAAAATATTATGCTGTAATGTAAAATAACCCTCATTAGTAAAAAATGTACTTCAATCTTACAATAATTGAGAAATCTATATAGTTCTGTCACGCATACTTTATTCTTATATAGGAGATAAATGTGTTACAGACTCGAAATATCTACACAGTATTAACAAAGCTGTCTTACAACTATCAGAAGGTGGTGCCATTCAGGAAATCAAGAAAAAATGGTGGACGCAAAAGAGAGGCGGAGGTAAATGCCAGGTGAGTAATGTGATTTAATACTGATTTTGTTATTATAAAATATATGTTATATATCGTATCTATATCTAATCTACTTATCACTAATCGCTGTTTAGGAAAGTAGTGGATCCAGTACAGCGGAGGCACTTGATCTCGATAATGTGGGTGGAGTATTTTTAGTACTGACCATAGGAATCGCCTTATCCTGCGTGTACACTATATTCGAATTGTGTTGGGATGTTGCCCAAACATCTATTCGAGAAAATGTAAGCGGACTAGTTTTACTTACAATGCAATTGTATTGCTTTTCATCAATACACACCGAATTTTCCGAATACCAGTACAGCTTCAACACAGAGCATGGAATAATCAACATTAATTTAAATAATTATATATAAAATAATGATGTAACTGTATCATCACTTAAAAGATGATGTGATTAATATATAACACATCATGATGATAATCTTAAACAATTTCGTTAATTTAATAATTTTGAACTCAGCATATTTCCAATAAATTATAAATAACGATGAATTATGAATAATTAGCGATTCAGAAGAGCTTCGTGAAACATTTAAGAATATTTCTACAATCGTTTATTTTTTCCACAACGTATTTATATTTATTTATCAAGTACATGATGTATTATTTACTTTATAGGTGCCCTTTAAGCAGGAATTAATAAACGAACTGAAATTTATCGCAAAATGCAGTGGCTCTAAACCGGCACGAAGAAAAAGTGGATTGTCCAGCAAAAGTGAAAATGGTAGTACAAGGGAATGTACTCCTCCGTACGGTTTTATACCAACTGTAATAAGAACGTCACCAACTAACGACAAATAATGACGGAACAAATCTCGAACAATAAGACGACTATTGTTCTCACAGATTTACTACTTTGTTATTCATAATGGCTCCAAATGTCGAATTGAATCATTAAATTAAAATGAACTACATCGAAAATAGTTTGAGAGCACTTGTGTACTATAATAAATAAAAGAATTATAAGAGATATATAATACAGTTTTTCGACAAATTTATTTTAAATTATTTCATTCCCTCTGCACATTAATTATTAATAAAAGTAATAGAAAAATCGGGAGAAATAATAGCGATAAACTTCAACATAAAAAAATCATTATTAAAGCATTATGCAAAAATCATTATTAAGCATTATGCAAAGAATACATAAATTGGACGTGGATGATTTTCGGCAGTTTATCCTAAATATTTTAATTGTCGATTACATAAAATTCTCGGCTATTTATGGCAATTATAGAAGATGATTGCCACCTATAATGATAAAACGATCTACCTAACAATCCAGATAAGTACGATGATCATGCGCAAAACAACAGCACAGCATACCGAGAGAGCACGGTTCTATTACCTACTTTTCGAGCTCTTGCAAGTGCAGACAACTAGTAACCATGGAATAGTATAGCCACTAGCTCCGACAGCGCCGGGTGGGTCGCGGTATACACAAAGTTCGATAATACGGAGAATTTTCCTCGTGTCCAAGTATTTCTTTTCAGTGTTTATGTTTCTCAATAAGTACAACTAATCTCGCGCGAGTGATCTCATGCCGTTAATCAACTCCGAAATTAAACGAATGTAACATGAGTGCTTTTTATACATAGTCGTGGGCGGAAGACGCTTGTAATAAATCACGTTGAAATGAACTGTCGCGTGAATATCTGAAGCCGATAATCACGTAACATTGCTCTAGAATCCAAAAATGGTTTGTTTCCTCGTGTTAAAGGAATTATTTAATGCACTTTTCTAATGCCGTCTGAATTTTACTTTGGCAACGAGCCGCGCGAATGATAAACAGATTCATGTCACGTCGAACTACACAGCGCTTTGTTTTAACGAGATCAAGGTTTAAAAATGTGCCGAATACATCATGCGCACATTATGTACGTTTATATATAGGACGTTCTATATAGCATAACTGAATAATAAATTCATTGAACAAGAATGAATGAATGAATTTGAGCAAAGGGGAAAATGTTCACAAAATAAATTTTGTAAAGGCAAATTTACGTTTGTAAAATGGTACTATATACCAATTAAAATATGATTAACTTCCGTCTCATAGAGTAGTTAATTACATACATGAAAAATTTTATTTAACAAGACTGTAGATTTCAGAGATTTGTAGAAAAAAGTAATAATAGATTTGTGCAAAATATTTTCTAATATTTTCTGTGTGTGTGTGTGTGTGTGTGTGTGTGTGTGTGTGTGTGTGTGTGTGTCTAGTAAACATTCAAAGATTAAACGTGATTCAAAGATTAAGGTTGATTTGAGTGTTGATTAATATGCCGTTTGAACAATTTATAATATCTCTGGAACGTTTTATTTCGGTTATTTGAATAAAATGCATATATTATATTAACATATTCAAAATTTCTATATTCAAAATTATGGAAAAAAACGAATCTAATACGTACCACTGATATCTCTCGGAAACTGTCAGTGTATCGACAACTATTTTCAGCAGATAGATTGAGAGAAGCTGTAGAGTAGTTGGCAGAGTACGTTGGCACAGCGAGAAATGTCTAAATATACCACACTGTGTGTATGTATCATATTAGCACGCTTGCGAATGTTTAGATCATCTAGGATGGCAAAGCAAGAGCACTAATGCAGTGGCAATAACAAGCAAAAGCAAATTGAATTTCAATCTATCTTAAAAAGACACTCCCACAATTAAATATGTTTACTTTTGAAGCTCCGTAATGCGTGCTCTGTGCCATTTACTAGTTGCGCTGCTATTAGAACGATCCTCTTTTAGAATGACCGAGAAATGCTACTCCTGTACGTCACTGTTGCATTTATGCCCCATATTCTGGGACTTCCGAGGAGCATATCAATTGGTAAGCTCGCCGTGTTTCTCACAAACAATAACACATGCGGGTAAAAGTAGAATAACGATAACTAATCCAGCGTATCGTTGAAATTGTTATGATCGCAGGAGGTTTATTCGACGGCGACGAGATGATTGAAAAAGCGTTTGAAATATCAATCGAAGCAGTAAATAAGAAAATTTCTACCCCTGAACGTGCGAGAAATATATCGTTAACACCCATAACGAAACAAATCAACAAGAATGCATTCCAAGTAGCAAATATAGGTATACAATTTTCTTTTACGCTTAAATCAATGCAGAACTTTATATTTCCTATCTTTCAAACGTTTCTTATACATAGCACATGTACAATCTATTGGGATTCTTATTATCACGCGCGCCCAACATGCATACATCCGAAAATCTTACGATGCATATAAATTTTTTTTCCATATACTACTTATGTATTAAAAAAAGTGTTACAAAAGTAAATTTTGTAAATTTTATATACACAGTGATAGATAATGCTTCAATTTATTCGCGATTAAGTGCTCGATTGTTAATGCAAATAATGCATGCAAAGCATTTTTGCGAGATCACATTATGCATTTTTGGGAACTGCATCATGCAGCGTGCAAGCTGATAGACGACGGGGTAATCGGAATATTTGGTCCCCAAGACAAATCGACAGCGAGCTACGTTCAAAGTATGTGCGATACCCTGGACATACCTTATATCGCTGCCAGATGGGATTCCGAACTAAAACGTGGCAATGTAATAAATTTGCATCCGCACCCCGACTCGCTCTCCATGGTATTTATTCTTATTTATAAATTTATTCGGCAACTTATAAACAAAAACTGCTTTCAATCTACAAACAACCTGAATCACAATTAGATATACACTTGATTTGGCTGAAAACTTTTTTGTAATTGTGCATATTAACTACGACCTCACGGATGTCAATGACTTTAACATATATTGTTAAGAACACGATGTTAGTAACGTTCAGAAACTTTCTGCCGTCGCTCATTATTTATTAAAAAGTTATTAATAATACAAAACAGTTTAATGAATAGGATGTAATTTTCTGACCACGTACACATTTAATAAAATTCTTAGCAGATATTTGCGCAATGTATTTAATATATAAAAATTAAATATAAATCTGCTAAAAATCATTAAACTTATACTTATCCATTATACGGGCAGCCATGTGAAACTGTACAATTATAGATGCTTATTTCAATGTAAAACAGTGTTTTTTATTATTTGCATATTTACGATCGAGGTCTTATGACTATAAGTAACATTGGGAAAAAAACCGCGTGGGGTTCCGTTCCTTATCCCGAAAAACCTGATCTATAACTCATAATCTACTTATAAATTAAAATTATAATGGGTTAGGTCAATTTTTTTCGAGGTAGGAATTTAGGGGAAGAAGCTCCGCCTAAACATTCAGTTAAATATACAAAGATCTGTCGCAATAATGTAAGTTAGGTGTGGATTATAGGTTTTTTGAAATGAGGGTATAGGAAGAAAGAGAGGCGGAATCTCTTCCCCGCTCATATATGTATCATTTCCACATACATGCTGGTTTATTGTCTCATTATTATTGTCTTATTTATGTCTTTCAGTACTCAGAAATAAGTATTATATTTTTCAAACTTCTTTTGTTAATAACTTTTTAATTGAACTTTTTAATAAACAACGAGCAACAGTTAAAACCTTTTGAAAGTTACAGAGTCATGTCCTTGATAATACACATCAAGATCATTGAAATCCGTGAGATCGGAGCTAATCATTGTATTTTTACCATTAATTATTATTAATTATCGTCTTTTTACCAAAATACGAAATTAATCTAGTACTTAAACCAAATAGAAAAGGTTGCATATTTATAAAAAAATGTTCAAACATTATTTCAATGTTTAGATAAATATCACTTCAAATTTACTGCGTTATTTTTATTTTAATTATTCACGTGTTGTGCTCATTGTTTGCTAATTGAATTTATTAACCAAACGTAATTTAAGCAAAATTGAGAGCAAAGAAAATTAAAATTATCTATATTTAATGAATATATTATTGAATACTCGATAAAGATATCAATTTCCAAAATTGCATAGGTCTTTCAAAACTTAATAGAAGAATACAAGTGGAAAGAATATGCAATAATTTACGACAACACGGATGGCCTGATACGTATAAACCGCCTGCTCAAATTGCAAAATCTGAATACTACTTTCGCGATGGTGTTTCATTTAGGTAGTGGACCAAATTTTAGGTATGCGTGCTCGAACCATATATAAATAGGTCGTCCCTCGTATAAACCTGCTTGTATGCGCGAGCGACGTTTGTCAAACAAAATTACTATGCACCTGTGCCATTATTTAGCCCCGTCGTAAACGCCAGGAAATATCGTGATGATTTACGACACGACTGTCTGGATATGAAGCAAACGTCATTCCCGCAGCCGCACATGTCGCCATAGATTTTTTCTGAAGATGCGCTCTATTCAAAAGTTAACGAGACGGTTTATTTGCCAGGCAAACCATGGAGGAAGTCAAGATGTCTGGATATAGAAATCTCATAATTGACTGTTCGTACAATATTCTTGCGTCTGTTCTCGAACAAGCACAACAAGTCGGAATAATGTCAGAAAGATATAGAGTGATTATTACTTCTCTGGTAAGACATCGAATTCTTTCATAATCTCTAACACTTCGCTTAATTAATCTAATCTAATTGTTGCAGAAGATATAACTGTAAAAAAATCAAATATCTTAAAATTATTATAGCTACAAATTTACGAAGAAAAATCTTATGTATTCGAAATAATGAATATGTTTAATTATATCTAATTTACAGATAAGACTTTTTAATCGACCCAACTGGCTATAATAATCGTCATGACAATACGACCATCGATTTTGGTCAAATTAATCGTCAAGACGTTATTTAAATATGATGTGCTTAAGCTTATATAGAAGCATCGAAATTATATCAATTTAAAAGGATCAAAATTCATATTGTCATGACGATTATTATAGCCAGTTGGGTCGATTAAAAAGTCTTAACTATTAATTAGGTAAATTATAATTGCTGGCGAAGTAAATGTTACTTGCTACGTTAAATTATCTGATTCGTGAATGTGTTTATCATGTAATACGCTTTTGATCATTAGGACTTGCAGACCCTAAACTTAGAACCGTACCAGTACTCCGGAGTGAATTTAACGGGCGTACGTTTAATCGATCCAAAAAGCTCAATTGTCCGACGTACCCTCCGGTCTCAGAATTTTAACTGGAACTTGCCAGACGGTTCCCACTTAAGGGTGGAAGCGGCACTTGCTTATGATGCGGTACAACTTTTCGCAAGCGGTTACGCGCGATTACGCAAGGGCATCAAGGGAAATCTGAAAAATTTGTCTTGCAACAGCACAGAAGTTTGGGAGCATGGTTTCAGTTTAAGTAATTATATGCGGAACGTATGTGCAATTATGGTTTACAACAATTTAGATACATATAGGACAAAACTAATATTTTTCATAACTGCAGCCAAAAGATACATACGTATATGTTTATAATTAATTTAGAAATCTAAAAAATGATAACTTCTAGATTATTAGATAAATACGATTTCACCTCAATTGTAAATAATTCTTTCCTTGTAATATAATCTTTGTTCACTGAATAAATGTGCTTATTTTAATTTTTTATAATAATCCAAAGAAATAAACTTTATAGACGGCAAATAATGTGCTGGTAAAACCGTGCATAGTTCTTAGATTTTAGATGATATCAAGAAAGTAAATTGCATAATGTGCATGTATCCGTATAAACTTTTCATTTAACCTACAGGAGCGAATACACGGACTGACCGGTTTAATAAGATTTGACACGGCTGGATTCCGAACCGAATTCCAACTAGACATCGTAAATCTAGGAAATGGAGGATTGTATAAAGTCGGAAGATGGGAAACGAATTTCGGTATTCAATGGAAACCGGGATACAGAATCCCCGGAGTAGACGATGACAAAAGCTTACGTGATAAGCATTTTCTTGTCCTGATATCGCTAGTATGTCCCTACCATCAACGTAGACATTACATTAAAAAATTAAATTAATGATTAACTAAAATTTATCAACGAAAAACTTTTAAGGAATAACTTAAAAAATGGACACAACTTTTTCTACTGGTAATATAAAACAAAATTATTAAAGATGTAAAAAGTTTATTGATAAAATATTTTACTCTTGTAATACTACTACTAAAATGACAAGTAATCGAATAAAAGAATGTTATTTAACAATAAATTTTAACAATTTGATTTTATATTTTCTTTTAAGAAAGTAACAATTATTTAAAAATTATTACTTTATCATTTATGCTACTAATCCATGTACCTCTTAATCTGCATATTAAACTGATATAAAGATATAAGATAAAAAAAGCTGTTCTCGAGAGATTAAAATGGAATATTTTCCAGACAGATCCGTACGGAATGCGTAAAATATCATCCCATGTAGTAACTGGAAATGATCGATATGAAGGCTTCGCGATAGATTTAATTCAAGAAATGAGCAAAATGCTGGGATTTAATTATACCTTTGAAGTTCAGACCGATAACGATTACGGATCATTTAATAATGTAACCAAGAAGTGGAGTGGAATGCTGGGAAAAATAATCGATGGTGTAAGTCAATGAAATATTTTTCCGCGTTTTGATTTTGTCTCATGTAAATGGAATATTGACTCGATCGACTTCGTTCGCGAGTAGTGCTGCTACCTTTCACCGTATATACAATACGAGAGCAACGCGTTGTAGCTTCTTATATCGATAAAGCAGTTGCCTCTTCACAGATATATCGCGTCGGTAGAATCTAATAATTTTCAATAATTTTATTTCTTAGGGCCGGTTGTTCCAACTTATTGGTAAACTAACTAATAGTTAAATCATATGTATATCTTTGTTTAATTTGAAGGAAAAACAAAAGACATATATATGATTTATTTAACTATTAGTTAGTTTACCAACAGGTTGGAACAACCGGCCCTTAAAGTCGGTTTTATCACTAATACAAAATTAAATTTATCTTAAAGAAGTATTCTGGTTTGAAAGTTCGTATAATAAAAAATATATTTTTCAGGAATTTTTTGTAAGGAAACGATAGAATAGAATAACGAAAGAAGCGAAGAACGTTCAACTTTGCATGTTATTCTTTTAGCTTTATTTTAAGAATATCTTTTTATTTTATAAATGACAAAAACGATCTTCTTTTTTATGTTATATCCTGATCACTTAGGAGCTCGCAAAGAAACGCATATAGACGGTGTAAATAATTCTAGCTGTTCTAGGTAGGTATCTAAAACGCAAAAACCAAAAATTTTTTTATTTAGAAGAAGGCTATGGTCTAAACTAGAACTAAACCAATATTTTTATTCTCGACAAAATGGCGGTCTTTTTATTTAAAATATTATAGTTTTTCCTTAAAATTTTGTTAGTATTTTATTAAAAGAAAAATTAATAAACGTATAATGTTGATTCTAGTTCAGACGATAGCCATATTATACTTCTCTTGAATAAAAAAATTTTTGGTTTTTGAGTCTCAGATACCTAGAGTCCTACCAGATACCTAGAATCATTTACATACAGTATTTACACCGTCCATATACATTTTTTTGCAAACTTCTTGTGACCAGGATGTAACATAAAAAATTTTTGTTATAAAAATATATCCTTAAAATAAGATTAAAAAACATGCAAAATTTAACGTTATTTCTTTCCTACAAAAAATATTCTTTTTACGACCTTTCAAACCAGAATACTCCCTTAAATTAATATTTTCAAAATACGTTCTCACCTTTTTCTTCATTTTACAATTTAACAGAGAGATACAAAAACGTACCTAACATAATCAATAGAAAATAGGATAGATTAACATTTTGTCACACATCCAATATTTTCCATAGAGATTTATGTAACACGCTAAAATTTTCCCATTTGATCTTGAAGAAAGCGGATTTAGCGATCACGGATCTGACGATCACGGCGACGAGAGAAGAAGCTGTGGATTTTACGAGCCCGTTTATGAACTTAGGTAAAACATGGTACATAATATATTCGTATTATAGTATTACAATCGACAGGTATGGAGCATAAACTGAGATTCCAGAATTTATATGCTTGGATCAAATATAATGTTTCAGGTATAAGCGTTCTCTACAGAATGCCAACAAAGGCTCCTCCAGGCTTTCTATCCTTTCTGGGACCGTTTTCGAAAGACGTTTGGATGTACCTGATCGGAGCGTACCTCACCGTGACAACATTGTTATTCGTGATTGGAAAACTCTGTCCCGTAGAATGGAAGAATCCGTACCCGTGCATCAAGGAGCCGGAGGTGTTGGAAACACCCTTCACTCTGACGGAGACTCCGTTTCTGGTGAGCGGAGCCATCTTGAAGTCTCCTACCGGATTCGCACCCGCGTGAGTCGATGCCCACTTTAGCTTGTCAATGTCTGCGGAGTGTGGTGCTTCGAGGATGTTTTTCTTGCATGAAACCAAACAAGTTGTTGAGCGCACAATGGAACTTCATGTCGCTGCAGGTTTTTGCGCCGCGTCGCGCAGAGTCGGCTGCGGTGCGCGCGATTAATAAGTGTGATTCACTTCGTATATACAGGGTGTCTGATAACAAGTATGACACGCGTAAAGAATAAGTAAAGAGCGGGTTAAACTGAATAGAAAAGTCCTGTACCGTTTTGCGATTATGATAATAAATAATAAATTATTAATTCGGAAACGGGTACCTGTCTTTTTTTCTTTTTTTTATATAAATGGTCATCTGGGGTGATTTTATTTTACACCCCAATTAAAAGTCATTGTTATCAATTACATATTGCATATTTTTTTATTGTTCTATAATTTTTTAGTGTTTGAAAACAATATGTAAATGAATTTACTCAACATTTTGAAAAAATAAAGAGAAACCAAAAAATATTTTTAAAAACAGAAGAAGCCCAAAATTACTGTAACGTGAGCTTTATTTTTTCGATGCCGGGGTGTAAAAATCAATCCAGGCGCCTGTTCCTGATGGGTTAATTAATAAAAGTCTGCAAATCAGCATGCGTTCGCGCGATTTGGCGATCGAAGAGACAGTCCGGCGTTTACGTTGCTACGCGTGCGGTGAGACATTGAAAGAAACACTGTCTAAAAAGCAAGTTGATTTAACCCACTCCACCTGCCCTCTGCGAGTACACTTATTCAGACACCCTATATATACACCGGCTTTAATTCTAATTTATCTGAGCAGACCAAACTTCTATAGGCAAGTCAAGGGGTTTGTAGATCTCTATGATTGGCCGAAGCATAGTAGAATTTAAACAGCACGTGTGAAAAACAATCTAAATCTGCGATTAACGTCGCTCTGATGATAATCCGCTATGGATTAAGTCATGTTTTTCCCATGATTAAAACATTCTTGCACACAAAATATTTGATATTAATTGTTTAAAGGCGTTATCTTAAAAACAAGAAGAGAGATCGAGAAACTAGTGGTATGCATTTCAGAGGAATTTCAACGAGAGCTTTGGCTGTTGCATGGTGGTTCTTCGCTTTGATCATTGGGAACACGTATATCGCCAATTTGGCAGCCGCCTTATCCACGAAATCCGTCGTGTGGTCTTTTCAAGTGGCGGAGGAACTGGCTTACCAACAGAAAATCAAGTACGGCGCAAAAATAAACGGCTCAACGTACTTCTTCTTTCAGGTGAGTGACATGATCAGCAAGAGGAAGAAGTAGGAATAGTCAACAAGTATTGATTAAGATAGCACATGTATTGGCTGACGATGATATTCCGCGTTATTATTTATGGAAATGCCCAGTGAGCTCGGAGCGGTCGATCTCGTTTTGCAGGATTCCACGTATGAACCGTATGTGATTATGTATAATTACATGAAGGATCATGCTAACGAAGTACTTATGAAGAGTAACGAGGACGGCGTGCGGAAGGTGCAGAACGAAAATTACGCGTACTTCATGGAATCCTCGTCAATTGAATATATCAAACAAAGAAAGTGTAATGTTACGCAGATCGGTGGACTTTTAGATTCCAAAAGCTACGGGATAGCGATGAAGAAAGGTCGGTTCACAACTGAAATTTACACAATATAGCGACAATTGGGACGAGTTATTATATTACTGCTAATTGCTCTCGATTGGTGCTCGTTACGCAAATTCGACAAAACGGTTAAAATCATTTGACTGTTTTAATGAAATAATTCTGATGACAGATGCGTCTTACCGTATGGATTTGAGTGGCGCCATACTAAAACTCCACGAAACCGGTGTAATCAACGAGCTGCAAACCAAGTGGTGGAAACAGAAACGAGGCGGTGATACGTGTGACGTATGATATTTATGTTCTCATGTTGTACCGTGATAAAAATTACGTAGATTACGTCGAACGCTGCGTAATCTTCAAAACATATCTTATCCTATCATATCATACATAATGATTAAAACTTTACCAACCGCACGAGTTACACCCTGACTAACAATAAGCGCTACATATCGCACAATTTTTGTGATGCACGTCATTCCAAAAGGTTTTCTTTCGCTTTCTCTTATGATTTCTTTTAATACTGTTTCTTCAAATTAATTAAGAGTTAATAAAGTATATATTAATATATTTATAACACTTTTTAGATAAAAACCGTCCATTTATAAAGGATTCATATTATATACAAGTAAAAAAAATTTTTTAATATAGGGGTATTAAAATAAGTTAAAGTTTAACGGTTTGACGGTCATGTCGGGTTAAAGACGAGTAAAAAGTTAATTAATTAACTTTGGGTGCGCTACTCTTTAAGGTTATGCAAAATACATAAGTGACTCATTAACCTAATCACATTAATCTTTGGGTTAAAAGTGTAAAAATTAACTTTTTACCCGACTTTAACCCGACATAACCTGTCAAACCGTTAAACTTTAACTTATTTGAATACCCCTTATCTGTATAAATATCTGACACAATTTAAAAATCCAACTAGACTATAAGAAATCTTACCAGATTAGATCTATAGTGATTTAAACAGTATAGACGTTATTCAAGTCTAACTCTAAGCAGATTATAATTGAATTAACTACAGATCTTTCGCTTTCTATAGGTTATTTATATAAACTTTAATTTTGTCTCCAAAAATTGTTACATAAATCTTTTATTAATTTTCCAAATTTTTTCTTTTCAACTACTTATATATTTTTATCAGTTTTTTAACTGTCTATCCCTTCTTCTGTCTCATTTCCTCTTTTTTTTGCTTGATTACGCGAACAGATAAAACGCACAGACGAAGCATTTCACGTTTGCCTTTATTTAACTGCATTTATAGTTGGCCTGACTTAAACTTCGCCGATTTAGTTCGTACGTGTAAAGATGATGTTGCAACTCAGAAATAAGTACCTGCGCGCGTTTGGAAAGCAAAGTTAAAGCCGAAGCGTGTACGCTCACTTCCAGATTTAGGAAGCTATCTACTTTGGATAAATTTTACCCTATTACACGAGGCAACTCCTACCGAGGGAAAAATTTACATTTAGTTTCCGCAAACTTTAATCTAACGCCACTTAAACTATAATATAATCGGTTTGCATAAAAGACTGTCATTACTGAAATTTTGGTTTTTAGGAAAAGACTGCAGTCCAAGTACAGCCATTGAATTTGGAGGACGTCGGTGGAGTATTTTTAATTATGATAAGTGGCGTTGCGTTGTCCTGGATTTTTGCGGGATGCGTATTTCTCTGGAACATTCGAAACATTGCGATCAGACACGACGTAACTTCATGTTTAATTACAATTTCTATATTTGCTTTACGAAATTATTTTAAAAGAAATCGCGTGTTTTGCAGGTATCCTTTAAAAAAGAGCTCATAAAAGAGTTAAAATTCTTAATCAAATGCAGCAGAAGGAAGATCGTCAAAAGAAGGAAGAAATCCGTCGAAACGATAACAAACAACAGCACTGATTCCTAATAAATACATGTCATTTCCGTAACAAACTGTACACAAATTTAACCCAATAAAATAGAAATTGCAAAGTTGTCTACGTTACAGTATTATTTATGGGAGACGATACTGTGCCGGCTTTAACGAAACTGAGATTCGAAGAGATTCGAAAATATCATCACGCAATTTCTGCGAATGCATTTTAATGATGATTACCGGCAGCGCTGGGGCAGGCTGAAATAACGCGGGGAAATAAGTACCTCGCAAATAAATGCTTCGCTTGAAACCATAATCGGGCCGACGATTGCGGCAAATCGTCGTATTACGTATACGTAAGGAAATCTTCGTATATACGCGATCAAACGTCCCTGAAAATTATACAGCGCTTTCAAATCGCGCGTGAATGCGACGAGAGGAAACGTATTACCATCCCGAATGATATAAAATTTTACGTTACACTTTAACGCCCGGTCAACACGCGATTATTTATACGCGCATCCTTCGATATATGTCGTAAAATGTTACGTCTACGTGCGCCAATTTACGCGCGAGCAATTCGTCGCACCAGAATCTGCATTTCCCTGCAGCCAATGAATGACGTAACGATCGCGGACCTCCGCCTTCTCGTGTTATCGACGAGCAAGAAACGTTCCTGTCGACGTTAAATACGGCAATCGACTCTCGCGGACGTACGATGCATAATGGAAGATCTCCGTGAAAATTCCTCCTAATGCAACTCAAGTGGGTGAGCGAGCAAATAATGGGGTTGTCTAACAGATTACTAGACGCGATGCACTGCAGTTCTTCCCGGCGGCATTATATACTCCCCCTTAAAGAAATTCACCGCGGCAACTCGGAACATGGATCCTTTATTCTCCGATGCTCGTAAAACAATTCCTAACGCAGTTTCCTATAAATTTTGCATTGTGCTATTATATCGTTTGAAAATACCGACAGCGATAGTAATAAAATTAATAGCAGTTGTAGTATAATTAGCAATAGCTAAGAAACGGGAATCAGAAATCAAATGTTGATTAATCTTATATTAAAGAAACATAATCGAACGCTGTACTAGATCCGTCAGTATTCCAGAATCTGAGACCGCAATCCTAGAAAATATTAACAAATAAATTACTATTAATACACTGCACAAATGTTATCGCGCTAACAGTCATAATAAGACGATAAACGTCTAGTTATTAGACACTCAACTGAATTCTTGGTATCGGATAGGATTATTATTAAGGATCGTAGCTTATCTCAACCATTTTGTCGTAAGCACACTCGCGTGTGCACGTCCATGGGTACAGTCATCCGTGCGTGATCGGAGCAACAAAGAAGATGCGGCGGGGAGATACGCGCAGCGGCGCGTAACCGCTGGTAGGTATCCTCACGAACAGAGATCTGCTCTCTCCGGTCGCTAAACGATCGAGAAGTCGCGCAGCCTCTCTGTCTTTCTCTCCCCGCCGGGAATTCGTCTCCGATTTACGAGTCGCGGTTCGACCGATGACACCAGACCCTTAAAGAATCTTCCGATTGCTATATCGGACAGAGACAGAGCGTCCGATGGAGAGACGCAACGGCACGGCGAGATCTCGCAGCGAGCTCCTCTCGTACCGCCGCGCCGCACCGTCTCCGTCGGCCCGGCCGCCTTATTCAAAGGTAGCGTCCAACCGGAGCTGTGGCAGAAAGAGCTGTGCGGGTGGGGAAACATGCCGCTCGTAAGGTAGTATTAAAAGGCCATTAAACGGCTCGACATGACGTACGACTTTGTGCGCGCGTGCATAACGCCGAGAAGAATCGCTGGTTCGAACGAAAGTTCTCCTACCTACTTGTCTGCCTGCTTCGCCTGCCTGCCTGCCTGCTTGCTTACCTGCCACTCGCGCTCGCCTCGCCCTGTACCAATAAGAAACCATCGAGTGGACTAGATACGTTTTTCTCCTACGCTATCTGTCGCCCGTTCCTATCCCGCATCCCTCTCTGATTAGGGAAACCGGAGGCGCGAAATTTACGAGCGCCATGTGCGAGGACCCGACTCACCCGACTGCCGCTTAGTCCGCATTAGCCTCTTCTCTCCATCGTGGTCCATTCCGCTGTGTGAATGAGACTCCACTGATTAGGGGAAACCGGTGCCACGAAATTTACGATCGGCGCGTGCATGTTGCGCGAAATTCGCGACAACGTAGATTGGAACGTACACGCCCGAATACAACTTTTAAAATCTGCGCGCTGCGTTTTAGATAACTCGGATAAAATTCGGATTAGATGCGCAAACGTGACGAGAAAGTAAAAATGTAAGAGGGCCCTCCAGAAAACATTCAATTATAGATGATATCAAAAAATTGGTAAATGAAAAAGAGAGTAAGGATAATTAGAAAAATAGTAAAAAGTTACGATATTTAGTCAGATTTTTTCTTTCTGTCTTAAAAAAAATCCATTCGAAACAGATGCAATATAAAATTGCATTATAATAAAAAATATTTATTGCAGGATCAAACTTATATTTATCTCATCGTGAAATGGCAAAGTCGAGAACCACATAAAACATACATACATAAAACATACTCGGCCGTCAAGGTATTGATGCATTTCAAGCTTGAACGAGCACAGTTATCTCTGATTATAACTTAATACAAAACGTGAGTAAGCAAGTAGATAGCTATGTATTTCAGATTCAGCATCAGTTGCCATTTCGAATATTGGTTTGACTAAGCAAGAGTTTGTATAATTTTATTTGGCGAGCTATACAAATATATATTACTTTTTATATATACCAAACACCGATTTTGAAAAAATCTTATTAATAAGATGAGCTAATATCAATTTATATTTAAAAATTTGTGTAAATATATATAATTATATAAAAATATGAATTTTGATTGATAAGGGCAATTAAAATATACGTATAAAAAGTTAAAAAATATGAAGAATTCAAAGAATCCATCACGAAAGACAACTCTTAGAAAATAGGATACTGTTCATACAAATATCACATAATGACTTCGAATGATTCACTTGCTCTTTCAGTTCCGATTCGTCACGGGACGTTATCAGACGGCTGTACAGCCTCTCAACATGTTAAGGAGTTAACACCGAAATGCCCAACGAAACCCGCCTGTCCGCCTGGTCGTTAATCGTCGTTATCGCGCGACGACAAAGCGAAATTAGTGGGCGCGCCTAGCACGGCCGAGGAAAATTAGGGAAGATTAACGTGCGTTTTCCATTACCCGCGCCGCGCGTACCGCCGCGGCAGAATGTGTGATACGAGGTGCAAATATCCACTTTGCGCGCGCGTCTGTAAAATCTTATAATGTCCGCGAATCCGCTTTCGATGCGCCGCCTTGCCCAGTCTTGTTTGCACCGACAGTCTTGTTTGCACCCGCGATGAAACCGCAGATGCATCCAGATTATCCGGTTCTTTATCGCGCACTTATTTTACATCACTCACTTTTTCATCCAGCCATGAGGCACTAAGGTACGCTGCCGGCGTATAATGTAGCCGGCATCTTTGTGAAATCTCACTTGCCTGACGTCATCCAACCCATTTCACCCGAAAAATGTTTTTCGGCGCAATTTCCTCGGCAGCATATCTACGTTTAATTTATGCAAAATGTTCGTTCTTATGAAATATAAGATGTAATTTGTGAAAAAATAATATCAATGTAATAATATATAGCCGGTTATAAATAATTCCAATGTACACTTGGTTTACCGATTATAAAATTTAACACACGTTAGATAGATAATAAAAAACTTATGAATCGTTTCTTTGTGTGAATTCTACTAAGCTTCTTTTTATAATTATATAAAATTAATAGCAACTTAATTCTATAATTATTAACTCTCTATTATAACAAAGTATTAAATGACCAAGTATTAGTATGAAAATAACTTAAAAAAATAAGTTGAAGAAATTTTCAATACTGCCAGCAATAAATGACAATTAACTAATCTGCGCATAGAAAGTTACAAGTCTAAACTTTTAAAAGTTAGCGATACACATCTGAAAATGTAACACTCTGCCCTCAGCATTTCCGCATTTTTCACTTTTCAGACGTAATGTTTGACACAAAAAATTTCGACATATATTCCATCACGCGGAAGATAATTTCGCACGTTCCTACCCGGCGGCGTCGAATCGCTCGCGGCAATATCGCATGCGATCGCGAACGATGGATAACGTAATTACTCATGCAAGCGATCTGACGCTGATGCGTACGTTTTGTTCGTATATCCGATTAAGAAGTCACTGCGAGCCCTGACCGCGGGCAACACATTTCGCATTCTAACAAGTCGGAGGCAGAAAAAGAGCCACACGCGGGGTGAAGAGATAAAGGGACCCCGGATAGAGAAGAGAGTCCAACTTCTACGGTGTGAGCCGCGAGAGAGCTCTTCGACTTCGAGAAGTCGAGGTCGCCCATTCGTTTAGAGATGAACCCTCGCGAGCTTGAAGGAATTAACTTTCATACTCTCTCTCGCGCGCGCGGCGCGAACCGCGAATGGGAGAGAGAAGCGCGGACTCCGCTCGAGTTGATAAATATGACGCTAATAACTATTATCGCTTCAGGGTCGCAATTCTCTCGTATGGCGTACGGGGCGTGTTCTCGTAGACCGCGACACGGTTTACGTAACATCGCGATGCGTTGTCTGGTGCGAGCGATAAGCTCAATATGCGCGAAGAGACATCGCTTAATAAGTAGCAAACGCGTATCTTTATGCGCTTCACGTTCTCCACGAGGCGCCCGCCCGGCCCTATCTGCGCACGCAATTTAGATTCAAAAGCGACGGAACCCACCCCGGGCGGATTGCAACATCGTGAATGCCGTCGGCCGGTATTTATAGTCTCCTCCTTCTCCCCCTCTTTCCCCCTCCCTCCGCGTTTGCATCCCCAGGAATCGTCATTTATTTCATTGTCACCAACAATGGATGGCTATCCCTTATTTCTTCAGCGATAAATTTACACTGCATCACGGAGGTTACACGCGCGCGTTTGATACTATCTCAAAATAAATAAATTCCGAGGAAATTTTTATATTCCTCTTTCTTACTGCGACAGCGCGAACCACCGAACACTTAAATATATATCGGTTTATCGTAATA